TTTACAATTGTTTACATATATAATATATATACATATATATATATATACATATATATATGTGTGTGTGTGTGTTTTTATGATCATGTATGATCATGTATGATCATGTATGATCTTGCTTCCGGCGACCGAATGCACTTTGGCTTCTTCATTCTCACCCTCAAACAGCAAGTCCGGCTCCTGCACCTGTGTCGGCATACCAACGTTACCGTCGAAGACTCTCCAAAGCGTCGAGTCAGCTCCGGTGTAGTACGTTTTCACCTGCATGTGGATCTCAGGCGCAGCCGTGTTTTGATACTGATAAAAGTCCACCACCTGTGTGCCACTGGAAAATTGTGAGGGCGCACTGGAGGATGTGGCCACAACATCAGGATACGTCATGGTATTCATAGACTGAGTGAAGATGTAGGTGCCTGCAATAAAAACGTCGCCAGTACTTGCCGCACTGGAGCTTCCATACTTGTTGGCATAGAAAGAGAGGTCTCCGCTATTGAAGCCTCTTGTGACATATTGGTAGTACTCGTCAGTAGCTGCCAGGCTTGTCACCACATCTGTATCGAAGTTGACATCGGCCACCAAGATGTCAGAATCTGCTGGACTGAAAGAGGCCTCATTGCCATTGCCGTCATCATACAACCAGCCACTGGAATACCTGAATGCTTTGCAGAAAATCTCGTGCATTTTCTTGAAGCATTTTTGCGGGGCACACTTGGTCAACGTGGCGAAACAAACTTAGGACATCTTAGGACAATATACAAAGCATTAAAGATTTACAACCTGAAAGAGATGTACTCTGCCCCGCTAGCACTCTTTTTCCACTCCCGTGCTGGATGTCTCTCTGGTTGATCGGCTAAAGATCTAACCCTTGAACATTAGTTATATAAGTTATATATACAAAGTATAACAATGGGTCGTGATCAGATAGTGGTTGGATACCAACACACACATATCTGTAAGATGGTTAGACACAGTCTAATCTAAACACATGTCACCCTGGGGCGATGTCCCACAAAGACCCAACACCCCTCCCCCCGCAGTGGGGTTCAGGGTGGGCTGGTAGGGAAAATTGAGAAGATATGCGGGGTGGACCTTGAGCCAAAATTGGCACCAAGGTCCATAAACCAACTCTTTCAAACCCCATGTAGCCCCTTCCCAACCAACCTACATACATGTATGGTAAAAAAAATGGGCTTGGAAAGTCCGTCTTCTGAAAGACTGAGAACTCCGGGCAAGTCGTCAAAGACAGGTTGCCTAACGCAAACGAAGTTGTCAGCCATGTCCGATTTGAACGTCGTGCCCGAAAAGCGCGATCTGATGTTCTCACCAGAGTACATGATGAACCCACTTCCAGTAGCAGCATCACTGCAACCTGCTCGATAGATACAGGTGGCCGATGGCAGCTGTATCTGAAGCCATCGAAGAGAATCAAAGCATATAAATGATACCAAATGAGCTAAGCATCAGCATGAAGCAAAAAATACGTGAAGAAAACGAAGAAAGATGTCCGGAAGCTAAGCCTGTGCAGCCTGGACAGTTCACCGTCCCGGCTCTGCCCTCCTGAGACCCTACCCTGGTGCCTACGCCGGAACGCGGATCACCCACGAGAAGCTTAGACCCGCCAGAGTAGCACAAAGAACTGGGGACATAGGTAGTCTCGCCAAGTCCACTGCCAAAGAGGCTGCTTGAACTGGAAGCTCTCACTGTGCATGTGCCGTCACTTCCACAAGTCACTGCTTTGCAGATGGAGGCTCCTAAAGATTTACCTGAGCAAGAGAGCATCAGACATGTGAGGGTGGTTTCTCTTGAACAAAACAATTGAAAATTCTTGGTGCGGACTTTGATAAGGCAGGAAGTGATTGGACGGACTGAAAACTGATCCAGACGGGCTTGGCAAGCATTTTACTCGCAGCCAGATTGACGGCAAATGCGGTGACTGTATAATAGTCTCTCATGTCTCTTCTTTGTAGTGAACAATCGCAACACGAGGTCAACCATTCCAAGGCTTCTTGGTCACATAAATGACATAAACAGCGGTTTTTCATCTAGCGGCACTTCTCCTTTGCGCCCCAGAGGTCGAATGTCTCTCTAATGCTATTCGCAAAACCCGGAGAGAAGTAGCCTTCCCATTCATCCCAGTAGCAAAGTGCTGTCCTAAGAGATACAGAATCAACATCCGAAAAATGTCAAACGCACTACTCGGCAGGACAAAAAAATATGCGCTCAAACATACTCAAACACTTGAAGGCGAATCAGTTTGATCGATACACCAGCTCAACCATCTGCGACCTGGCCACGTTGTACTTTCAGTTGTTGAACTGGTGGTGCTGGTAATGGTGACTACCGTGGTGGAGGTTACAGTCATTGTTGTTGTGGTGGAGGTGTCAATGAACTGGCCTATGATGATTGAGTCATCTGGCTCGCTGGCGCCTTGCTTCACCCACAGCATGATAGTGTAGGATGCCTCGTTGATGTTCAGATTAGATTCCACTCCCATTTCATACGGAAGAGCACTGGAGGGAATTGTCTCGTGGTAGGCCCACACGGGGACATTGGCTGATGTTACATCGCAAATAAATTCCTCGGCTGAGCATACGGAGCTTTACCGCTTGTGTCTTCCTTGCTGAAGCTACTTGATAAAGCGGCGATAAATGCGATACTCCGCTAGCTGCTGTTCAAAGGGCATGTGTAAGGGGCGAGTGAATGCAAAAATGCCAAGGGAGCTTCGAGCGCTTGCACAAGAATAATTGAGGAGCTCTCCTCAAAAAGTAAAATGTCGCCTCGCCAGAGGAATTGGCATGCATGGAATATGATGGAATGAGTGACGAATCAGCGGACATTGCTGGTGCTGAGTCAGCATCAGAAGTCTACATAGTCTACAAGCAACGGGATGAAGAGGAAACACACGGTTCAGAAACACATATATAGGTCACATAGAACATCATAGAAATACACAAAACAAGTGGGGAAATGTATGATAGGTTCTGATAGGTATGAGATGGTATGAGTCCTGTGTGCGTGCGAAAGGAAGAGAGTGCCTGTGCTGAAGCTGATCTTCACCGTCTGAGAATCCGTGTTTGCAGATGCGGTGCTTTGCACGACATCATTCATTTTGACGCTCACAGTGCCAGTGGAAGCGCTTCCAAAGGTCACTCCCTCGGTGGGCATCAGAAAGAGGCAAACTGTTTGTCGCACGACTCGTGAGACCATAACCATCCATGCCATAACCATAACTGATGCCATGGGGTGCTAGTGGGTGCCATAATTGCCATAACTCATGACTCTTGACATGGCCTCCGCCCTGGTCCTGCCGGAAATCTGCGACAACTCCCAACCAAGGGACAACAACTCCCTCACCCTGCAGTTGCAACGAGACTGTGCCATCTCCAGCATCGGAGGATCCGCGAAAAGCACCATTGTATAATGCCGCGTCAGGAGCCCAGAAGCTGTCCTCGTTTGAACTGAAGATCCACCCTGCCTGGGCCGAGTTCCAAAGGAACTTGGAAGACCAAGACTTCCGAGCAACATCTGTCATGTCAATTCATGTCACACATGTCTGCCATTGTCTGCCCGTTTTTGGAGGATACAAAAGTTCAAAAGCCTCTGCTTTGAGAACACATGACATGGCCTCAGCCATCCCGGGCCGGTGTCACTGTGACTTGCAAAGGCTTGGATGGCTTGGCCTGCACCATGTTGTCTTTGCTGGAGAAGTCAGTCACTGAACTGGATCCGCCACACATGTTTGAATACCTCAGCTGCAGGTCATCATTTGCTGTATGCCATCCATGCACTCACAGGAATGTAGACCTACCGTATTGGTCGAACAGAGTAACGTCGTCGGGGCCTCCTTCATCATCCCAGTTGAATACAGGCTGACTAAATACGGTGCAGCAAGAGATGGCGAGAAATTGCAAACAGCTTGCTAGTCAAGCTATGTCCAGCTACTGGTCACGGAGTATCAATGAGTCATGAGGTGCAAATATGTGCAAATTGCACACATCCCAACCTACACATCCTACACACGTGTCATCAGGTGTCACAACTTGCGTCAAGCGACCAGCCGGGCGAGCTGCCTGCGGCAAGGCCGCAGAGCGGAATCCTCACGAGCGCGAGCGAGATGCCGAGATGCAACTTGATCGATTCTTGAGATTCGGATATTGATTTAATGTGATTTATGTGTCTTCTAATGTTTTCTAAGTCGTTTATACTGTTCTATTATTATATTCTATTATAGTTATTATTGTTCTTATATATTATTATGTTCTTTCGATTGCATCGATGATTCCTGGCGAAGAAACACACGCCAAACGGCATGCACATTGCATGCACATTAAATGCGCATGGAAAGTGAATTGAATGTGCAGCACACAGTGGCATACGAGCATCGAGCCTAAAAAAAACAAAGGCCGCAAGCGCATAGAAGCTGCGCCGAAAATGGCCATTCCCTCAGTTGAGCCGATTGGATCCGATTGGAACAGACCGAATTGTTTGGAATTCCTTTCTCATTGGCCCTAAGATGTGCAGAAAATACAGGGCAAACAAACAGATCAGGCAGCCATCTGCTTTCTGTCAGGACCCGACCGAGTGGAGCATTGCTGTCCATCACCTGGGCAGCTACACAGGCAGCACAACACTTTGCCATGCAGTGCTATCAGTGCTGTTCACAGCTGCCAAGAAACCAGCAAGCTCAACATTAACAAGCGGTAAGTCCGCTAAGCATGTTTGAGCCATTTAATGGCTGCAGAAATGTGACAGCCTCCAAGCAAGATATTTTTTGAGGAACCTTGGGCGGTCTGGGCAATGCAGCTCCTGATCCTGCCGTCTTTGCCACATCGGTCCAGTTGGCTTCAAACAGCAGTGGCGACCGCTCATCCTTTTCATTTGCATTGCCACTGACTGTGCACGGCAAGATCAAAGGGGCAGGCACCCCGAGCACAAAGTATCATTGAGTCAAACATCTCAGGTCTACAACATTCTACAAACAATTGCATTATATTGCATTCATTTCAAGATGAACTGGCCGGACTCACGACAATCGCACTGGTAGGGGCTCCAGGGGCTCCAGGGGCTCCAGGGATTCCAGCGATTCCAGGGATTCCTCCGCTTGCTGTCTGGGCAGTTGCGACTTTTTCCTGCCACAAATCTTGACCGTAGGCTCTTTCCTGAGACAATTGCATGATATCAATGCCATGTTGGCACGATGCAACTGATGGAAAATAACTGCGGGGTTCTGTAAAGCGTGCCACATAAACTGAATCATCTTGAGAGACAGGCAATGCATTGCAAGTCAAACAACATTACATGTGAGATCATGTGAGGCAGATTACGTGCAACAGTATCTACAATATTCTACCATAATAAAATCCAACCAACATCCCCACAGCAATCCCGGTGTGATCTCTTTGATGTGCATACTTCTGACAGGGTTCAGCTTTCTCAGCAGGGCGTGACCTGCGATCTGTGGAGGCAGTTGTTGGCCGGGCGACTTGTGTGTGTGTGCGTCCACGCTGGTGCCCCATAGCAGATTGAGTTACACAATATAATGCAGTTGTTGTCAGACCCAGATTTGCAATGGAATCAATGGGATTCGTTGAGGGGTGTCAACGGAGGGACTGAAGGAAGCTACTGAACAGAGTGAATGAATGATATACCCTTCGAAGCTGCTACTGTGCTTGGGCAGCGGCAGAGATGCCATTCTGTTCTGGATGGTCTGGGCCATAGTTTGATACCTTCGCCGTGTTCGAGGCAGAACATAGAAATCCATAGCAAGTTGCAATGGAAACCAACAAAAACTCACTGACATTCGCGCCTCTCTCGACTGGGATCTGCCAAGTTCTTGTCGGACAACCGCTGCAGGATCACCTCCGGCCCATAGCTTTTTTTAATCTGTTTTGACTCTGGAGGCTGTGGAATTTATCCCTTTTATACAAGGGCAATGCCGAACTTCAACGAGCCCGGGATCATCCAGAATCTCAATGAAGTGAGGTTTGCGGATGAACGAAGTATGACAATGTTGCTGGAACTGCCTGCAGCTCTTTGGTCATCTCAGCAAGAAGGTCTAGCTTCTTTTGGTGAGCCTCCTGACAATGTTGGTTGCTGGACGTGACAAGGCGCTTTTAAAAGAGAACGTAAGCAAGACAATTCAAATCCCTTCGAGGGGCCTCAGCCTTCTTCTCTGCGAGAGCAACTGAGTTGTTGGGCGAGATACATGACACAACATCGCTCACATGAAATCGTGTGATATATTTTGTGCAGACCTGGGACATGGGGAAGCCTGACACAGAAAACATTGGATGCAACTAAAGGGTGATGAAAAAGAATGAAAAAGAAATCTCGCGCCTTTCTCTGCATCAACTGCACCTTCGGGCCCTGGCATCGCATGAAATGTCCAATGGAATCAAATGGGCTACAAAGGTGAGGCAGTGGGAATACCACCCTGAGATACCTTGAGCAACTGTCCACACCGGCTTTAAACTACACAAGCCAGCATCGGAAGCACCGGCATGTTCGAAAACAATCGAAAACATCTGGATACTTATAACACCAAGCAGTTTCACCAGGGATTGGAGTTTCTTCAATTAATATCACTGTGGTCTCTGAATGTAGTATTCGTTTGCATGACTTGACATCAAGAGCAGAATAATTCCAAAAAAACACACACACACATTGCATCACATTGCATCATACAGTGAATCATACAGAATCATGCAGCCGCTGGATTAGCACTTGGCAACAACCCATGTTGAGAGCATACCCAAAAGTGGAAGGCATATAGCCATAGGATGCCATAGGCAGATGGAGGGGACCTGCATTTGTACCATGGTCAGATAATGTCAGATATATGGCCAAACATAAAATGGCTCACTGACGTCATCCTGTATAGTCAGTCGTTGCGGATGAACTCACTGCTCTATGTCCCCCATGATGACTGGAATGCGAGGGTGGAAGCTTGCTGCAGTATGAGAAACGTCAACTTGCTAGCAGCTTCCAGCCCCATCCGTCCTGCTAGCTGAAGATGCTCAAAATGTTTTTTAGACTTGCATTGCTGCATAACCAACTTGCACAAGCAAAACAGGCCGAATACACGGTGCCCAGTGTGTCCACTGTGTCCGACACTGTGTCCACTGTGTCCACTGTGTCCACCGTGTCCACAGTTTGGCCTTTCGGGCCCACATGATCTCACATGTTTTCTGATGTTTTCTGCCACTGCACAAACAGGAATGCGTCATGACCAGTCCCCACAGGTGAGTCATGGTGAGTCACCATGAGGCCTCACAGGGTCCTCACAAAAATGCGACAAACGTCACTGAGAAAAGGACTGAAGAATGAGGCGGTTGGTAATCACCACCAAGCCTTGCCGATCCATGCCACCGGCCTTTGGTCAAAACAGAGCACGGACAGATACATGATACATATAGCATGTGCGTGTGCTGCACATCGCATAACATTTGACAACTCCCTGCACCTTCGCAGACTCTTCAAGCGAAGCTGTGACTGCATTTGGCCTCAGGGCTCCCCCTGTCAAGCCATAATCAGGCTCCTCAAACCTTTGTCTAGACGCAACGGGCATGCAACTGGCATGCAACTGGCATTCCACCAAAACTCTAAGGCGAATCTGTAAATTCGAAGTGTGTCTGAATCCTTACTGCACAGTACACCAACATGCACCATGCCCACTGGAACTATTCAAACTGGCAACAGCCAAAACAAAACACTGCTGCGCACATCATCTGCAAAAACATACTGAAGCTCCCATTCGATGCAAGAAGTCTAAGAAGTCTGAAAAGTGAGTAGCGCAAATGTGGCGCAGTCTTCTTCCGACATACGATTCTTTGACGTCCAGACTGCTGAAGGCCAAGTTGTTGAGTCGTTTGAGGGTGAGGAGACATGATGAGACGAAAGACAACGGGGAACGTTCAGTGCATGAACACTTTGCGCACACGTTCTTTGTGCGTGTTCTTTGTGTGAAGAAACAATCGCAGTCCGCAAATTTCAAACTTTTCGGTGCATTGTGCATCCCACAATGTGGCGGTTTCAGTCCAGCAATTGAGCACGATTGATTGTCACGTAGCTTTCTGAAAACTGGCAAGTACATTCATTTCTAGCAAACACCTCTACGGGAAAAAACGGGCGATGCTCTGTCCGTGCCAATGTGGCTCTTGGAGTGCCAAATTGTGCCTTTTCCAAATGTGTGTTTCGCGCCACCCTGTATGTAACTTAACAACCTGCCTTTGCAGCGTGTGCCATTTTTTTGTGCCTACATGTGAGCTTCATTCATACTGGCACTACAGACTTATACCACTGCTTGAAGAAACAAGTTTGTGGGCGAGAAGGACCGAAATTCAGCTGGACGTAGATGATGGAGCCATGGGAGTGCAGGAGGTGTCCAGGAGATAAATCCGTGCGAGTTTGTCCCTGTGTCTGCCTGGGAGTCTGCTGCGCCTGCGGCTGCATCTCAGTCTGTGCGTGTGCGTGTGCATGCGGGTGCCTCTGTCCGCATAGTGCGCACAGTGCGCACGATGGCGTGCGCCGGCGTGGGCATGGGCTTTGATACTGTATCAGAAATGCTTTTGCGAACTGCAACAATCGTCAGCTTCATTTCAGCCTAGAAACGTCAGCAAAGCTTGCGAACGACTCGGCAGTGGCCTTATTCCAAAGCTTGACATTGCACATGCTCAATGAGCCCCCTCCAGTCAAATTCTCAGGGTGGCAGAAAACCGCTCAGCTCAGCATGACACGTGAATTGGCCTGGTGGCTTGTCAGGAGCTTCCTTCAGCTGTCCAATTGCCACATTTCACGACATTATTCAAACCAAGAGATGAGCAGGATGAGCAGGCAACTTCACTTGAGCGGCGTCCAAAATAGCGAAATGGTTGTACTCCTCTTTTGCTTTCGCCATTGCTTTTGCGCTGCTTTCGCACGCAATGATTTAACTTTCGCGACGCCACTTTGGTCATGGTTGCTATCCCGGCGGCTTTCACCCAAACAAAACCGCAAATCATCCTGTAGTATGCGAAGTTGAATTAGGTTTACCATGGTTTAACTGTGCCAATCAGTCCCCACTTTCGTGGTATTTTCGTGACATTTCATGAGAATGTCACTCTCGCGCTGCTTTAGCCGCTAGCCTTCGCCAAAGGTACCCCATGATTTAGACAAGAACTCTACAGCTCTACACACAATTTTTCATGCTGCTCACTTGCAATTCAGATTCGAAATCCCACAACTAACCCCTATCCGTTGGTTGGTTCTAACCGAAGATTGCCACCCAACGGCTTCCCATTTGTCCTCATCTGCAAGCACCTTTTGCGGAGGTGGTCGCCGCTCCCAACTTGTTTTACTTGGCCTTCGACCTATCAGAGTGGCCTCACGGTTCAGAATCTACTAGTCATGCGGATGCTGCTGGACTCTTTGAAATCTTGCAGTGAAAGCGATACAAAAAACTTTATGGCATTTATTTATAAAACTGCGTATATTATATACACATATATTTGGCAACATGAAGTGTCAACGTGTTCTTTGATGTTCTTCGTCTCAACGACCAGACATGACTGCAGCGTGACTTGACGGCCTTCTCCTTCTCAAGCCACGTAACGAATGGTTGCGCCTGTGCAAAGGCCAAAGCTCCAGCTGACTGGACCCAATTTTCAAAATCTCCCAAGTATATCCAAGTATTGCCATGCCATGTCGTGCCACTATGACTAGTGCACCTCGTCATCCATCACAGATAACTCCTCCAACATCTCAGAACTGTTTTTCTTCCTTAGGATCGGATGGAAAGAAGGAAAGCAGGAAAACAGTTGGTGGTACCCACAGAAACCGCATCTTCCAATGTCTTCCAATATATCCCATATCAATCCATATCATCAATATCTGCATTCTTCTTTGTGCGGTTGCCACACATGGGCCAGCACAACCTCCCGGCTCTAGGAAGCATGCTGATCAAGAAGAACACAGATAAACTCGGCCTCAGCACAGACAGGTAAAGCGAGCCCGGATGAGCCGGGCATGTCCTTTCCGAGGTTGTGAAAGACGACGTGCCGAACATCTTCGAACATCTTCGAACTCAGGAACATGCCAAAATGTCTGGTTCGTCATCTGCTTGCACCGTCTGCCTGCAAGTGCAGAGAAAATCCTCATTACAGGCTATCACCGACGAAGTGTTAGATGGTGCTACCGAAGGTTTCTGGGAGATATTCTGAGCCATGACAACTGGTGACGCCTCACGTGCTTCACAACGCTATCCTTCAGTTCCTGCTGCTCCGCCCTGCCATTGCAAAATCAGCCAAAGGAAGCTGACAAATCACAAACAAAAAAATGTTGGCACGCAACCTGCAACGTGCGGGTGTTTTGCCGCTAATTCTTCTGAAGGACGCAAGGACGGTCGAAAATACCTGAGCCTTTGCAGGTGTTTCATGACACAAGAAGAGGCGAGGAACAAGGCGGTTCAGGGCCCAGCAGGCCCTTACGCCTTTGCACAACGTCTCAGTTCTCAATCGTCAGGTCATTTTGTGTGTCACTTTGGGGCCCAATTTGCGAGCCATCTTGAGCATTCTTTGGATCGCGAGACGCTTTCAGCTCGCTGGATTTACCTGACTTGCCTCCCTCAGCCTTGGCAGGCTTTGTATCATCATGACTATCAACACGTTGTAGCGAAAGCAGATGATAGTTCGTCGCTCCTAGCCTCAGTCAAGACAAGACACAGGGAGAGCGGAAAAGTTCTACCCTCAAAAGAGAAGGTCGCTTTGTCAGGCCATTCCCCCTGTCAGATGCCAATGGATCTAATCTAATGATCTAATGGCTATGCGGCTATGATACACGCCTGGACTTTGCCATGGCTTGCTGCCTGGGATCCTGACAGGATTCGTCGAACCTCATGGAAATCTATCCAGGCACTGGGGCGTTGCCCGCGACGCGCTGTCAATATTTGTCTCCGAAGGCAGATTTTCTCCTGAGGGTAGTCACGGGTAGTCATAGTCATGTCACGCTTTCGATCGCGGGCCTCAAAACCTCAAGGTGCTATTCATTCATCAGTCCTCATCCTCCTCTTGCCACTCCCTCCATGCAAAAACCAGAGCATAGTGGTTGGTCAGGTGGAAGAGCAGGACCTCAGCATCCGTTAAAATTCTGGTCGGCCATAGCAAGCTGAACACAGCACACAGCTGCACCAATACGATCCAAGAGACGCTGTTGGGCATGCTGAAGGAATTCTTCAAACAACACCACTGCCGGTGTATGTCGGCTTCGGTGTCAGTTTTTGCCAATAGTGCCGCCGCCTTTATATTATTTGGTTTTCTCATCCGGGCCAGCACTACTCCAGTCTTGATTTTTTCCTGCGCAAAGGACATGAAAAGCAGAATCAAGTGCGTGCTCTTGACCAAACAGAAATTGATTCCATCATATTCCATCACAAGAATCACAAGCTCTGAAAATCGAATCGTCAAAGTGCATCGCAAGTCCGTGGTGCGCAACAAAGAGAGCTGTTCTGCAGCTTGTCGGAGGGCAGGAGTCCCCACTGCCGCTGTATTTGGCCGATCTGCACGGAGCCTGGTCCAAACGCATGGCACAGCATGACCTGACATGGCCCAAGATTGTGGCATGTGTTACACATGTTTTATTCTCTTCCATGTACTGTAATGCACTATAATTTCACTGTGCCATTTTTTCGGCTTTCATTGAGCTGTCCAAGCCCTTCAATGTTGGACAGTTTCTTTTTCAAGGATCAAGGCTCAACAAGGCTCAAATCAGTGCAGAGGGGTTCGGTCAAGGATTCCCAATTGCTCTTGGCCTGAGGACACCTCGGCGCTTTGAAAGCAATTCCCAAATTTCTTGCCTCAGCACTCATTGGCAAACTTATCGCCCATAACTCATAACTCCTCATAACTCTCAAAAACATCCACCAAATAGTCCAAGAGATTCTGCTGCACACGAAAGGCAGTTAGTGATTCTTGATGAATTTTATATAATGATTTGCTCTCCAGTACACGTGTTTTTGGCTGTGCCATGCATTGAAGGTCTTTGACGTGCATTCCTGCATATCCCTGTACGGTTTCAAATTCTGTGCCCATGTGGCAGGGCAAATTGGCATTTGCCTTTGGAGTAAAAAGATCCATCTTGGCAGGATCACTCCTTAGTTCGCTATCCAACCACCCCGTTCCCAGCGTACTGGGTCAGGGAGGGCTGGGTCACACAAGAGCTTTAAGCCCAAACGGCACCAGCCAACCACTTAGTCTGTCAAGCAAACCGTCGAAGCGACTAACATGCTCTCCAGTACAGGTGTTTTTGGCTGTGCCATGCATTGAAGGTCTTTGACATGCATTCCTGCATATCCCTGTGCGGTTTCAAATTCTGTGCCCATGTGGCAAGGCAAATTGGCATTTGCCTTTGGAGTAAAAAGATCCATCTTGGCAGGATCACTCCTTAGTTCGCTATCCACGTGCCCCAGCGTAGCTGCTTGACTAGTTGTTTCAAGCGCAGGTACAAGGCCTGGAAGCTGTGCCAGCGCATCACAGAGGTACCAGGTACAAGCGAGCTACCTGGACTGAGGACCACCGTCCTCTCAGTAATGTCTTCTCCATCAGTCCACAGTCTCGAAAGTATGCCGTAGCACCTCCTCGTCTCAAGGAGTAGCCTCTAAAGTTCATATCTTGGATTCCAAAGAAAACGGTGAGTTTCTCAAAGGCTTTACGGAAAGCCGTACCATTCTTGGTCCAAATCGGAACCTTCATCAAACCTGAGGCTCTTTTTGCTACCAGCATCTCTTCCAGCAACACTATCAGCACAGGATCAAAAATGGTGACGGACTCCTTGACATTGTGCCTCGTGCCCCCTTTGCTGTGTGGGAGCGTCACGATCCCAGAGTTGGCTTTGAGCAGTAAGTCAATGGGCCTGACTGAGAGTATCTCGCCAGTCCTAAGAAAGCAATGAAACCCCAGGCCCAAAAGACACGCTAGGTCAAAGTCACGCACCTTGACAGCCCTAGCCATCATTGCCCATGCCATGTCCTCTGGGAGCGGCGCCGCTCTCGACGGAATTTCCATTTTTCGCCAATTGCTGAACAGCTTCCAGCTAACGGGCAAGCGTCGCCTGCTACTGGGCATGAAATAGTGAAACCCGCTCAAGCCGTCAGCCACAATGTTGATAGGAGATCCTTTCTGAAACTCACCTTCTATCCAATCAGCAATCTGCTCATCCAAGTCTTCCATTGAAGAAGTGTCATTGACTTTCCGACAAATGGCAGATACAGCTACGTAGTAGCGGGACTGCGTAGGCTTTGAAATGCCTGCGTCCCGAAGTAGGATCCCTCTTCGTGCCTTCTGTCTTGCCCGGCGATTGCGAATGCCAGCAACACATGGCAACTTTCCCATGGCTTAAAAGCGGGAAGCTTCATCCGTGGGATTCTCTGTAGATTCCACATGGATGAGAATTGGGTACAAATTAAAACTAAACTGTACAGCCGCCAACTTTCGCATGATACTCATGAGGGCTTCACTACTGGACCTACCCTTAGATATCACAGACATACTGATATAACTGTCGGTGAGGTGAATGAATCTGCAGGAAGACTCGGTCAAATGCTGGATCCTCCACCGCGGGGCCAAAAGAATGCTACGCATTTCCAGCCGGTTGATATGCTCGGATTTCTGCCAACGGCAATGGAAGACATGTTTCCAGCACCACCAGCTAGCACATGCCGATTGACGTGGGAAAGCTTTCGGGTTCATCACCGCTCCAGTGCTAATCCCAATATCGCTTCCAGTATGATTTACCCTGGTTAAGAGAAGTCTGCCCAAACTGCTGACATCCCCTTTGGTGCACATATCGTTCGCGTAAACCAACCTGCGTGCTAAAGGACAGCTTGATGAAGAGGGAGCACAGAACCCTGGGGCCATACCCATACGCGAGCATAAATGAGCATAGGTCATACCTGGGAGAAGAGAGGCGCAGGCGCTCCAGGCAAAGATTGCAAAGGAGTAGAGGGAGAAGCTGTCCCCAACCAAGCTACACCTAAGGTCCTCATAGGCCTGCACATCCTTCTTGATGTCACTTGCAGACATGCACACGCTGGTATGACCCCAACCGTAGCCGTGCAGCAGTTCACGTTCAGAAGAATCAATAAGTCTCCAGGAATTTCCACGCCAGATAACATATTGATCCTTATATTGATAGGGGGGATATTTGAAATCGTCAGCGGCCCAGCGGTCACGAGCTGGTTGTGGAGTCCTATCCAACCCTGCAGGCCTAGGAGGGGGCTGCAATCTTTTGATAGCCTTCATGCATGTGGGGAAGACGACACCTGATCCAGACGAGGGCCAAGAACAACCTTCTGTGAGCCATGTCTGCTCCAAGGGGTACTCATTGACCGCTGAAATCTCCAAGTAGTCACCCTTGTCAACAACCTTAACCCCTGGCAGTAGACCTAGAGCATGATTAGTCCAGCAGAACCTTGGCCTTGAGATTGGGACAGCATCGGCACATTGCACCTTGTAAGGGCGAACACCCAGGGCCGCGTCAATCTCCTTCTGGGCGGACTTGTCCATGGATGCCACATTCTCAATGAAAAAGAGGATTTTGAAAGTCCTACCAAAAACCTGTCTGGGAAGTTCGAGCACCTTCAAAATCTCCCTGAACAGACCACTTTCACTGCCCTCCAGATTTTTCCGACCAAACTTCACCGCGCTCAAATCCACGCAAGGGAAGCCCCCCCACAGATGGAGTTCCATCACATGGGGGAAAAGCAAGAGCCAGCTGAACACCTCTTTCCGAGAAATACCGCGCACATCCCCCTTCAGCATAGCATGTGGCCATCTCCTACCTACAACCCTGTTGGCATGCTTCGAGATTTCATAGGATATCAATCCCATTGGTTCCACGCCAATCAAGTCGTACGCCCGAAAGGCACCGCCTATGCCATTGAAAAGTGACAGCACTAATATTGGTGCGCGGCAGCCCGAACTTGGTTGTCTCAACAAAGCAGCACAAAATTCCTTCCCCTCATCGCTGAGCTCAGTAGCCTTTCCTACCGCCCCACCTTTACCAGACGCGTCTGAAGCAGTGCAGGTACCCGACATAGCAGCCCCCAGATGAGTATGCAGCAGGCACGATCCCAAGCAAAGCATGAGCAGCTCCCGGCGCGCAGCCAGCTGCCCCTTTACGCCCAGCTTCTTACCACTAATCCACCGCCAGACCAGGTGAAGTGAAGACATTCCAGCCCGACGGAACTGCAGAACATGGACCCAACGACCAGACACCACCTGCAGCCATTTCTTTGGGACCTGAGCCTTAGACAGAATAAAGGCAGTGGACTGAATAAGTCGCACCAGACGCTCCGCAGAGACCCCAAGCAAGCCTCCAATCCCATCAATCTCAGCACCCAACTCCTGCACCTCTCTAGCTTTGGAAATCCTCTTCTTCTCGGACGACAAGACCCCTGCATCATTCCAGCATGTTTCAGCTTTCCTATGAAGCTCAGCCGCATCATCACCTTCTTCTCCTTGACGTACCCTTTCACCCGCAAAGAAATTGTCCAAACACACATGATACCAAGCCCTGGATGTCGACCTGGAACCCTCCAAGACCTCTGTCAACCAATTTGGTAGAGGACGCGTGCGATCCACTCGCTGATCCAAAGGCAAGCCCCCCCTCAGCAGCAGGTTTTGACTAATTTCTTGCATGACCGGAACCGCAGAAGACCATCCCATAGGAAGTACTCCACAGGACAAGCAATATTGTATTCCAGCTGTTTTACCGATCTCAGCACCATCAGCCATAAGGTTGAAAGCTAAGAATCGCGACCACTGAGGGGGGAGAGAGAAAAGGTAGAACGCAGAAGTCATATCAGATTGACACAAGCTTAGTTGTTCGCCATCTTCAAGAATTAAGGAGAGGTACTGAGTAACGCTTGGGAGTTCCTGCACACAGCCATGAAGTTGCCTCAACACCGCATTGGAGGGAATAAGGTTCATGATGACGCGGAGGACAGGACGCGTGTCAGGAAGAAGGGTGGATTTTGCAACTCCAAAGAGACCATTTAACACCTTAGTGCCGCGGAAGCTAATCACCTGCTCATACTCGATCCAAGTGCAAATATTTCTCTTCACCAGTTGTGCAGCCACTGCCATCTTGTCACAATGTGAACCCTTGCCTGAAGTTTTGGAAGCTCTTGTCCTTCGTCTTCTACCATCCCATCTTCCGGTCTTACTAAAAAGCTCCTAGTGCGTCCAGATGTCCAGTCCGTCACTGGTATGGATCCCCCATGACCTTCGGGGGGAAGCCCTGGTATAATTTGCTCACAACTCAGCGGTTCCATCTTTGGGACCTCTTCCCCCGTGTAGCTGACAAACCGGCTAGCTAACTCTTTTTCCACGGCAGCTAGACTTCGCTCGACCACCTTGTCCAGCCTGAGGGCTCTCTGTACAGCAGCGCGAAGACAGGTCACGGCATTCAAATCCGTCTTGCGCCAACGGCCACTCGGCACACCACGGCTTCCATTGAGCCAATTTACAAAGAGCACGGATAAAAACACCCAGCTCTCTTCGCCAAAGGCGGTGGAAAAATCACAGGAAATCACCTCCTCGTAGCTGGCACCCATCAAGGAATCTACCAGCTTATCCAGCGATCCACGCCGGATAGGAAACAGGGCCTTTGGTAAGGCCCGATGCACGGCACAGTCGCCAGCATCCACCTCCGGCAGCACTGACCCTAAAGCTGTCAAGCTGCCGAAGGCTTCAACCTGCGTACGCCCGGCCACTACCAGCCAGGCCAGCGCGCATCCGGCACTCCTCATAGACACTGCTCCAGTGCAAATCATCTCAAAGTCTTGAAGCGTCCCCC